CAAATCGTTCAAATCGCGCTGCTCTAATCGCGCTTGAGGCGCCGCAGAACTTCCCGACGTTGCTTGAAGCTCGTCCACCATAGACTTTGAATGTAAACCTGCTGCTCCTGACGCTGAAATCTCGTTCGGTGTGAACGCACCATTAGTGTCAAAAAGAGATGAGAACATTTTTAAATGATTTGTGTTTCATTATAAATAACTTTAAAASAGAAATGTAAAAAGGCTTCCACGGCAGAATGTGCCAAGTACTGTATCCCTTAAATAATCTGTTCCCCCACCAGAAGGGGTGCTCGCCTGGAAACTCTGCTTAATAAAACGTTAATTTCTGTAAATAAAAGGCTTAAACACAAACATGTATTTCCTTAAATGTTGTACGATGACTGTCAATCTGATTAAAGGCTTTGCAGAGGTACTTTGTGTGACTTTTGGCCAAATAAACCCTTTTTATTGAATACATGTAKGCTATTGCCKCCATTTCTCTCAATAAAAAGCAAAATAAGCACAATTTCGTTCCATTAGTGTGTTGTACGGTTGTTGTTCTGTGAGGAGAAAGGTTTTTATTATTTTTTGCTTATACCTTTTTGACAAAATCTGTGCTTTTTTCTGTCAGTTTGTGTCAGATATCTTAAATTACCATTCAGGATAGTCAAAGTGTAGTTGTTCCTAGTCAAAACTCATTTTTAGATATCTAGAATGTAATTACAGATAGTCAGACAAAACCGATTTTATGCTAAAATGGCTTGCCATAAAACGGAGCCCCACTTTTCTGCTGAAAGATAGTCAAAATTAGCCTGGTTTAAACCAGACCCTGTCCTTCACTTTGCTTCGTATAAGGCTATGGACTTGCTGAACAGAGAAGCGTTTCTTGCAGGAGGCATGGCCTCTGCTGAAGTTTAAAATGATTGGATCGGTTGGCCTCAAGTGCAAGCTCCACTGTGAAGGAGGCTAAGCTAAGAAGCTAACCAGAAATCGCGAGCGCTGTGAACAACCGTACTGAAAGGAGAATAGTCGACTGTAATTTTTTTTTTATTTTTATTGAAACTTTTAATGTGATACAAAATATAACAACACAGCCAGGCGGAATGAACATCTGTAAGTGAAAAAGAAAAAGGAGGAAAAACATACAAGTGTGATAGTAAAAATAGAAATAAACTTAAACAATAGATGAAATGATTAAATCACAAAAAAGAACCAATCAAGATAAAAATAAATCAGGAATTCCAAAAAGTGAACAAGAATCTGTTTTGCCTTCTGATTAGTAGAAAAGTGAATTGAGTGTAAATATTGTGTAAATTCGTTCATGAAGG